CTCTAACATAATAACGGGCAGAATCGGGCAGCCAAATCTGGTATCAACTTAAAGCTTAGACATCAGAGAAAATATTGGTAATAAAATTTTAGCGAAAATCCCTGGAAATCTAAACATTTCCTCTGGATTTATAAAAAATAAATCCCCAAACATGAGTTTTGGCGCACTTTGGTTCCTCCCTGGCCCACTGTGCGCCTGTTCGTCCAACCGATCCCAGTGACACACCCACTAACACGCCTCCGGGCACACCCCCAGCATCAGTATCAGCATCATCGTCGATCGATCAATTCCTACTAAGCTCGGACTTCAAGCAGCTCATCGACCGCGCCGTCCAGTCTGCAGTCGAGCGAGTGATGGAAAAGGAAATGGTACGCCTTGTTACCAACATGGAGAAGCGAGAGAGCAGGCTCTCTGATCTAATCGAGGAAAAGCTTGCTCGCCTTCATGACTTGGAGGTTTCGGTGGAAGAAAGGCTCCATGAGTTCAAAGCTGTGAAGGATTCATTGGAAAGGGTTACAGAAGACACGACAAGAGTTTCTCGGAAGTTAGACCAGCTCCAGCAGTATTCTAGGCGTAATAATATTCGAATCCTAGGTATTAAAGAATCACCGAATGAAAACACCGACCAGTTGGTCTGTCAAATCGCGAGGAGCATTGGGGTAGATCTAGCTCCAACCGATCTAGACCGCTCTCATCGGGTATCGCGACGTCCGCAAGAAGGACCAATCCAGGATCCGCAAGGAAATCGTTCGTTTGCAAACGCGACGCGATCTTCAGATTCGCGCCCTAGGGCCATCATAGCCAAGATGATGTCCTACAAATCAAAGGAAGCGCTCATAAGAAATAGACGCAAATTAAAGGGCTCAGGTCAAGTCATCGTGGAGGACTTGACAAGAAAAAACGCTGAACTTCTGGCAGCCACATCGAAAATGAAAGACAAAGTGAGTGCAACCTGGTCGATTGATGGACGAATAATGGCGGTGCTGTCATCAACAGGCAAGAAAAAAACAGATAAGATCACATTCTGACTTGAAACTTATTTAATCAATAACGTTTTTTGTGCAGCCATGGAAGTTCATGGTGCAATAAATACTATCCAACTTATATGCTGATGAAGATAAACACATATATATTTTACTCATTGTAGGCTTCCGGTCCTCTTTTATCAAATTATATAAACTTTTGAACTCTTAAATGTATGTTCTTTTTATCGTGTCAATGTGCTTATTTACCCGTCTTTTCTAAATATGTCTCTCCGTATTTTGTATCAAAGTGCAATCAAAAGCTTAGATTTAAATGCAATATCAAATGTCTTATCACCCATGAATGATGAGGAAAATAACCTTGGGATAAGTCAGTCTTTTTTCCTACCAGATGAATTAAACGAAAAACTTTCTTTCAATAAAATAAATTCCATTAATTTTTCAATGATGCATATTAATTGTAGAAGTATTTTGAAAAACATGGATGGCATTTCATCACTGTTGAATAATCTAGATTTTCAATTTTCTGTCCTGGGGATCACTGAGACTTGGTTGAATGAAACCTCATCAACAGGGCTGTGCAACGTCAAAGGTTATAATTTCATTAATATCAATAGGCAAAACAGGAGAGGTGGAGGTATTGGTATCTATTTGAGAGACTCTTTAGTTTATAAAGAAAGAGATGATTTGAATATTAATAATGATTCATTTGAAAGTCTATTTGTTGAAATTGAAAATGTATCAGATAAAAATGTAATATTAGGTGTTGTCTATAGACCTCCTGATCAGTCTATTGAATCATTTTTTGATCAATTATCTTCTGTTCTTGCTATTGTAAATAATGAAAATAAATTAATGTATTTAATGGGAGATTTTAATATCAATTTGTTATCAACTGTCTCTTCCCAAAATGCAAATTCTTTCTTGAATTTTTTTACTTCTTTTTTTATGTACCCACTTATTCACAACCCTACTCGCATTACTGATCATTCCGCAACATTATTGGATAATATTTTTACAAATGATATGAAGAATAAATTTAGTGGTGTGATTTTGGTTGATATAAGTGATCATTTTCCTGTTTTTAGTATATCTTATTCCAATAGAATTAACGAAAAGAAAAAGCATATACTTAAACGAATAGTGAATGAAAGAAATATTATTACATTTAATGAACGTTTGAAAGATGTATATTGGAATTTCAAGCTAAGTGATCCTAATGCTAGTTACAGCTTCTTCTTGGCAAAATTTCTACGTTTATATGATGAATGCTTTCCCATGCAAGAAATATTAATTAAAAATAAATGTATGAATAAACTGTGGATGAATAGAGATTTATTAAAAAACATAAGGAAAAAATGGCGTTTATACAAAAAGTACCTTAAGTCACCCACTTAATACAGGAAAAATGTGTACAAACAATTTAGAAATAAAATTACAAATGAAATTAAAAAATCTAAGTATCAATATTACAAAAATAAATTTAATAACGATAAGGGTAATATGAAAGCAACATGGAAAACTATAAATGAAGCTCTTGGTTCAAAATCATGTTCTAAACAATGTATTGATGAAATTAATGTTGATGGTAGAAAAATTACAGACAAAGATGAATTATCAGAAATATTCAATGAGTATTTTGTAAATATTGGTTACAATTTAACAAATAATGTTCAATATTCTAAATCATTTGATCATAATAAACTTAAAAGAAATGATAAGACTGCATTTTTTTCTCCTGTAACTTGTAAAGAGATTATTGATATCGTTTGTTCTTAAAAAAACGGAACTAGTCCCGGTTATGATGAAATCAATGTTGGTGTCATTAAAAAAGTCATTCATATAATTGCACCACAATTATGTTCTATATTTAATTCTTGTATTTCATATGGTGTATTCCCTACTCAATTAAAACTAGCAAAAGTAATCCCAGTTTTTAAAGCAGGGGATGTTAGTTATGCCAAAAATTACCGCCTAATATCTGTTCTACCTTTATTTTCAAAGATTTTTGAGAAGTGCTTATACAAACGTTTGAATGATTTTCTATTTTCATGTAATATTTTGTCTTATAATCAATATGGTTTTCGCTCGGGACACTCCGCATCGATGGCGCTTCTTGAATTTATTCATAAAGCTTGTAAAGCTATCGATTATAAAGAATACATGGTTGGATTGTTTCTCGATTTGAGCAAAGCCTTCGATACATTAGATCATTATATTTTGTTGAGCAAATTGGAAGATTATGGAATTCGTGGAAATGTATTATTATTATTTAAGAGTTATTTGTTAGACCGGTCTCAGTTTGTAGTTATCAATAATCATAAATCTTCAAATAAGCAAATTCGATGCGGAGTGCCCCAAGGGTCCATTTTGGGTCCTTTACTTTTCTTGGTTTATATAAACGATATCATTACTTCTTCTAAACTCTTACAATTTATTCTTTTTGCAGATGACACCAGTGTGTTCATGTTTGGAAGTAATCTGAACATGTTATTAGATACATTTACTGTCGAATTACATAAATTGAATGATTGGTTGTTAAATAATAAATTAGTTATAAATATTGATAAAACTCAATTTATGCTATTTACAAAAAGAAAAGTTGAAGATGATAATTTGATTATTCATTTTAATGGACAAGCTATAAATCGTGTTTCTTTCACTAAATTTCTCGGTGTTTACATCGATGATAGATTGACATGGCATGAGCACATTGGTGTCATATGTAATAGAGTTGCTAAGGGAGTTGGTATTATTTATCGATTAAGACACTTCCCACGATATATTTTGATTATGTTATATTATGCTTTGATAATTCCAAACATTAATTATTGTAATATTACATGGTCAAATGGTTCTGATTATTTTATGACAAAATTATTTAAATTACAAAAGAAGGCTGTTCGATTACTTTACGATGCCCCGTTCAATGCCCACACTTTGCCACTTTTTCAACAATTAAAGCTTCTTAATGTTTATGATATAAATAATTTTAATATTGCTATATTTGTGTTTATGTGTTCTAAGGGATTATTGCCAAGGTCCATGTCATGTAAATTTACTTTCAATTATGAAATACATTCTTATGAAACCCGTAATGCTGGTAATTTTCATTTTCCTAAAATCCGTACAAATGTTTCAAAAAATACAGTTTTTTTCAAAGGGCCAGTTTTGTGGAAAAATATCCCATTTAATATAAAAAAATCTATTTCACTGAATATTTTTAAACGAATGTACAAATCCCATCTTTTATTATTGTATTCAATCTCAAAATAAATGACGTTACGTTTCAGTTAATGCACTTTTTAATGTATCCCCCCTCCCCTTCCCTTCTTCCTTTTTCTTTTTTATTGGTGTTTAGATTCTCTCGGCTTTCCTTTTCCCTTTTTCTTTTCTCAACAATACAGTGTATACTTTTTAAGGGTTTTTTTTAAGGGGTTGACGTTTCATAAGGCTAATTGCCCTTTTTGTTAACCCCACATTCCCATAAAATTTTGTTTGCTCCTTCCCTTTGTATTTTTCTTGTAATCGATCTTTTATCTGTATACCATGTTTGTATGTTTTAATGTTTTTATGGAGAATTAAATAAATGAAATGAAATGAATGACTGTATTTTGTTAATTCAAATGTTCACCCTTTTGACAGACCATAGTAAATCCGAGGTTTACATTATTGTTGAGGTTTTATATCACTTTTGGCCTTGTAGAAGTGTAGTAGTCTTCTAGATAAAGTCGGTGGATTGTGGACCACAAGGTAGAGGTGAGAGTCCCTGCCATAGCACTAATGTCTTATGGAAAACACCTTTAATCTACATTTGTTACTCTCCAGTTAGAAGGTTACCCGGTACGAAGAAACAATTTATTCATATGTTATTACCATGATTATTGTCAACCATCATCGGTAGAACAGCTCAAACGGTACACTTTTACTTGTTATCTCCATTATAACAGTTTCTCTATTAACATTTTCCTTCAATATGCCCTACCCCCCCCCCCCCCCATCAATACCCGCAGCAAGACGACAACTACATAATATTTACCAACATGGTGACGTATTACAAGCCTCGCCTTGAAAATGGAACTAATGAGCTCATTACCAGAGAACACTATCTTCATATCCCTGTTACTTGCTATCTGGAGAGGACACAGGTCTTGGAAGAGTCCTTCTTGCCTAAAGGAGATCTTTATGTTTCCGGAGAGGTGAGGATTCAATTACTTTGTAGCTTAAGTAAGGCAAATTCTGGTAGGAGCAACGTGGCATGATGGTGGAGATGTCGTGGAATAGTAGTTCATTCACATGGCTATCAATCCAAGGGTTAAGGGTTCGAATCTCAGCTCGGCACAATGTGCTTTGGCAAGAACAATGTAATCATGTTCGACGCCACAGCGTGAGGACATTTGCGCTAAATAGAATTACCGAAGTGTGACGTTATATTGGCCAAGTTGTGAAGGTTGCTTTTTCAAAACATTTTTGGTGCAAAAAAAAGTGTAGTGATCACACCAGCCTCAAACACTGAATTTGCCCTTCTCCAGCCCGTTGCTTGAATGATTTTGCGGTGAATCTCATGAGCAGCCTCTGTTGTTTCGAACTAGTCACCTGGACGACGGCCGGATATGGCATTAGCACTTCGGTACTCTATATGAAGAAACGATTATTATCCCCTTTGCCGATGAAGTCGGAAGGGATATAGTAACGCTGCCGTCCGTCCTTCCGTGCGTCCGTGCGTGCGTTCGTCCGAATTTTAATGACATTTTAATGAAGGTACATGGTAACAAAATACATGTACAGCCTAAGTTTGATTTCTGAGAATGTAGGTCAAAGGGGAAAGGTCATAGCTCATTAAATATGCAAAAACACATAATTACATATGTGAAAATGTGGTTAACTTCCTTGCCTAGTAATATAATAGTACAGTCCAATGGAGGTACTTGTTCTGGCGTATATAGGCCATTTGTACCCTGCGAGGGGATGCTATGCTTTGCGTTGACTTGTTTTTATTCTTTTTATTAGTATTATCATTATTATCACTTTTATTACTATTATCATTATTATAATTATTAATATTATCATAATTATTACTATCATTATTATTATACTTAAAGCTCTTGGTTCTAATATTAGAGGTCGACCCTTGCTGAGCGCTTACATCCTTGAACGAGTTGTGTAGGCCACATTAATTTTGTTCCTTTAGATCTAGATTTATTAAATTGATACCTGTAAATATTGGGTAATAATAGCTGTTGGGCCCATAAAAAGAGCAGTGACTACCATAGGCAAATGAGACCGCTTTGTTTTTTATTATCAACATTTCATTGAGGGTTATGTTCTGATAAAGATTGAAAGTAAATTGCGAATTATTTCTAGGTTTGTCACATAAAAATGATTGCTGTACATTTTCTGTCATATTTGAAATTATGTTAGTTTATGTATCTCAAATGTTTACTCACCATCTAGGAAGGATACGGTGAGTTCTCGCTGAACCTTGACCGGTATACAAACTCAGGCTTCTACCAACCTGCCAAAGATTCCGGCGAAGTTATGCTCGGCACACCGCTATACTTCGGCGTCCGTCTGACGTCCGTCACGAACCTAACGCTTCTCATCGAGTCGTGCTGGGCAACGAGCTCGCCGGACCCACGAGACGATCACCGCTATGATATCATCGAGAATGGGTAGATTATTGTTGTTCTACCTTTGCTCACTCTGTTTTTAATCTGATCCTGTTGATTCTTTAGGGAAGATACCTATTGACGGTTAGCTTTTTTTTTTTGGGGGGGGGAGGTTCGCAGATTCTTACATTTCATCCAACAAGTAAGAGCAGTGCACATCCGTTCATGAATAGACATACACTGTGCTATTCCAAAGGGGAAGACTGACTATGGGGGGGGGGGGGTCTGGAGAGTTTCCACCTGCGGGCCTTTCGATATTAACGAGTTTTCGCACGGCGACGCAAGTGCTGACTACGGGGTGTTTAAATCAGCTCGCCACCCCGTACTAGCTCGACTCCCGATGCTAATAAGGCTGTATACCGTCGTAGGTTTGGACGCTACGCGGAAATTTTCGCTCTGAATGCGATCCCCCTGCTAAGATTAGCGTTGTAGAATGCCGCGTCGCCGGTTGCGAAAACTCGCTATTATGTCTTTAGGGCCGGTCGATTTGTGCTCTGATGACCGGATATGTAACCTAGAGGTTGAGTGGGCCGGTCGCATCGAAATTGTCAACCGAATTTCAGTCCTAATCCGCCTATGAATTAGCCTAAAGTTCTAAAATGCACTACGTATATCATCATGAAAGCCATTTTATTTCAAAACATGTGTTTGTGTTTTGTAGATGTGCCGTGGACAGCACAACAGTCATCTACAATTGGGCCTCTTCAACTTTCAAGAGATTCAGTATCGATGCTTTCACCTTCATTGGCGGTTACGACAAGGTGAGTGTCAACAATGACCCCTTGCTCCCCTCGTATCCGTTACACCCGCTGCGCAATTGTATTGACGTAGTACTGTGTCAGTGATTGGTGTGGTCTCTGATGCGGCATGTGGAAGTGACAAACGGTGATTGTAAATTAAATGGCGGCCTTAACTTTAGAATACCTCCACCAATAGGATTCATGTTCATGTATGTCGAAGACCTAGGGTTAGTATTAGGTTTAGTGTTACCTTAGAAACTTAAGTCTTCAGATTTAGCTTCATTGATGAAGCGTTGTGTAACCTACAAACGTCCGGTGAGGTATTCTAAAGTTGCTCCGAACGGTGCAAACAATGAGTGCAAACGGAAGCATCTGCTACTTAATAACCACAGGCTCGATTAGCGCAGTAGCGCAGGTAATAACAAAATCGAAAAGACACCTCATAGGCGGTGCATGCCTAAAATTCCTCCAGGGTCTTGATTAATATATCGAAATTGAGTATTAATTGTGCATTGGGAAATGCTTGGGTGGGTTTACCATTCGCATAGAGCCGTAGCTACTTCTTACCGTATATATGCAAGAGCGCGTTCTCGAGGTTTTCATATACAAGCAATATCGACGGTTACCATTGTACCAAACAAATCCCGCAATTTCCTCTTGATCACGGTGATGAGGATCTAGTTGGTGGATTTGTATTGCCATTAGATATGATCATCCTATATTTTGTTAAAAACTTATTCTGGTGATTTTGTTTTCCTCGGCTACTGAATATGCATGTGACACCTGTTCTACATATTTGTACATAATAGCAGTGAAGGGATGTTCCTTTGTCTACCTGAGAAACTGTATTTTCTGTCATCTTTCTTTGTCCGTCATGTTCATAGTGTTTGTCAACCGTCCCCATACACATAGGCCTACACGTAGGTCGAGGCAATCATTAGAGCAGGGAGGTGAAAGAAAGGAGTCGAAACTCATTTAATTTATTCAAACGCATTCGTGAGTTCTACAGCGAAGCAATGGAATGTGTAACATTCCAATTGGCTTTGAATTTCCATGCTGCGAGCCGCGCCTCCACTGCGATGAATTTTGGAGGCCAGGCACCAGTTTCACATTTATTACAAAATATTAAATTACCGGCAAAATTTCAGTGTAAATTATTTTTTTTTTAAATTATATGGGGATTGAATTGGAAATAGTGCATCACAAACTTTTTCAAATTTAGGACTCCGCCCTTCTTTTAATTTGTTTGCAAGAGGTGATAAAATAAAAAATAGATCCTGACAAAAACTCAATATTTTAGGATAATGCGCTAATTTTGTGCGTGTAATAATTTCCCTTTATGTAAACCATCATTTACAAACTTCGATAACTTTAAATATGCTAATTCGTAATTTCGCGTGTTTTTTTGCAGTTGGAAAAAAGGATGAAATTACACAAATTTGTGTTCGCTTGTTCTACTCTTTTACACATTCAACAATGGATGAGAAATCATTGCAAGGAACAGCGAACAGTTGCTGCAGGCGCGTTCGCAGCGGGGGGGGGGTTGAACCCTCTCAAGATTTGTGTTATGTATTTTGAATTTTGATGAACACCCCCTCCTTTTTTTATAATTAAAACAAATAAAATGTACCAAAGGGTGACCCCCCCTCCAACAAAAGTGAAGTGACCTTACCCCCCCCCCCCTGAGTTGAGTTGCGAAATTTTTGGGACCCCCCCCCCCCCCCTAAAAAAAAAAGTGCTCTTAACCACCTCGTTGAAATTCGGGACTTTATTATAATTTACAACAACTTCTGATTAGCTTTACACCATCTTTCATGTCGTAAAGATGCAATCTATTTCACCTTTTAATTAGCTCTGTCGTCTCTCGAAACAGGTTTACGTCCACTGCTCAATCTTGATCTGTGACAACAACGACTCGGGCTCCCGCTGCGCCCAGGGATGTCTAGCACGATCTCGTCGAAGTCTGCTGCCCACAGGCTCCCGGTCCAAACCACACACCATCACGATCGGACCGATATCCGATGCCCAGCGCTCCCAAAGGGCTATGCTGATTAATACCATTGATGACGGTGAGTAGTGTCCGTAGTGTAAATAATGCTGACAAGAATAATGTCGTTCATGTTCATGGGGCATTAGATAAGGCGGTATCTGACAAAACCGATTACTGCAAAGGAATTCATGTCACATAAAGCAGCGAACAACACAAGACAATGCGAGCAGCTTACAACGAGTCAAATGTTCTGCACGCCCAGCAAGCCGTGCTCTGATTGGTATGCGTAGCACAGGTTCAATGATTTGTTTCGGCACGAATCGACCCAGGTTTTCGGTCAAATGTTTGGATGAATTTGCTTTGCGTGATTATTTAGTCTATTTCAATCTTATACCGATATACCCTCTGATTCATTTATCGACCCCCTCCTTCAATTCCTAAATTTCCACGGATCATCTAACAAAGTAGCAGTGATATTTAGTTTGAGATGTATCATGTACAAATATACCATTTTCGAAATGTAGGCCAAACTAGTAGGAGACCAGCCTGTTGGAATCCTCATGACCAGACAAGTAATTTGATATGCAATTTGATAAGGTTAACTGTGTTGGTGAATTTGACTACCAGTCAAACATGTGTTGACCTTTCACCGTTTGTTACCATAGCGCCCTCATTTAAGGTCGGAGGTATAGCAAACTATACATTTTTGGAATCCTCATGACCAGACGAGTAATTTGATATGCATATCGACACGATTGGAATATATTTGAATTTCTACCCCTGTTTGACCTTTGTTGACCCCTCACGAAAATGCCTGGGATTTTCAAGGGGGCATGCAGCCCAAGTCAAAATTGTTCAGTATTCATCAGGGAACACAAAAACACTTTCAAACCTTTGTTCCCAGAGATTGGTCCCGGGAGCTACAGGCTGGTCTCCGACTAAACCAAATTTAATGCACACGTCTTTGTGAAGAAATTAACTGATGACCGGCCGGTGATCGGCGGGGCATCTGTGTGTGTCTCGTAGGCGTATCTGCGGCGGCCCGCCGGGCTCCGCCGGGAATTTCTAACGGGCAGGCTCCTCCCCCCCCCCCCCCCCCAACTTGCCCCATGGTTTTCTTGCGTGTTTTGGGGATTTCTTTAGTGAAACAAACTTCGGGTAGAAATCTAGCTGTTGTCTCTGGTCAAGCGCGCTGAACAGCGCCTTTTAATATACCCAGCCTTGATCGAACAGACGCCGCGGTCAATCAAGCTGTCGCTGCCCGCGGAAGCCGACCGATTTTGAATTCGTCGCCCAGTGACCGACTGATCTCCCAGCGACAACCGGGGGGCGACCGCTCGGTAGCCTTTGACCTAGCGGCTTCATTTTTTTTTTACCTAACTCGCTCGACGGCGAAGGCTCGATTCGGTCTGTGTCCGGGCGGCGACCCCCGGCCACCAAGCGTATTCCGGGCGGCGGGTAAAAGTGAGCAGGCGCCGCCCGAATTGTAAGCTATGGTCACAAATCAGAGCGGCGACCAACCAATTAGTAGCCTGCTCGGTGGCCGATGGAATTTAAGCATCGCCCAACGATTTTTGGAAAAGACGAGCAGGCTGTAGAGCCCCAGCGATGCCTAGGCGATGCCCTGTCGATTTTCCGTCGGCCGCCGGTCGATGTTAGGTCACAACTGGGCGAAATCGGGAGCTTCTCAAATAGGCGTCCCGGCAGTGACCGGCTGATGACCCACCGATTCCCGAACGGTCTCCCACCGGTCAATTGAATATGTTAGGTATTGGCTGAGATATGACCATCTTAATAAATATATTTCCTATAGGAAGTCAGTGCTATTTGCTCTGGCTCGTAATGGTTAGGAGACAGAGCGAATAACACTTATTTCTTATAGGAAATTTATTTATTCAAATGGTCATATGTCAGCCAATACTCAACATATTCAATTGGTTTCCACAATATTGGAAATTATTTTTTATGCTCTTTCAGAAAATGAAGGAAAAAAAAAATTTGTTGATGACGTCACACTTCACCACTCAATTATAGTTCTGTTTAGGATAGCATCCACCAACTTCTTTTTTTTCTTCTTTCTTTTCCATCCACCATTGTGTCAACTCTACAAGTACGTCCTTTCAACACATATCGCTGACACAAAGCGCGCGGGCGGCCCTTTCGCGAGTATCATGAGTATATTTAGGTCTATTATTTTCATCAATATTATTGCTCTTTTTGTTGTTCTTGTTGTTATTAATATCAATGTCAATTTTTCTTTCACTCTCCAGGACCCGAATCTCATGACCCCCTGATGATCGTGGCTGTGAGCGCCCTTTGTGTTCTCATCGCTCTTACTGTCATCATGGCGCTGATGATGGTGCGCATGCGTCGTCGTCGCCCCGAGCTGACTGGCTATCGCAGAGTGGGCATTACCGAGCAGGATGCCGAGAGAAAGAGAGGAGAATAAGAAGACGAAGAAATCGCTTTGATTGGAGTAAAATTAGTAGTATAATTTACGAAGTGACAAAGTCCTCTTTGCACGGAATCACTTTGAATATTCGTTGCTATCCTCGGACTAGTGTTGATGAAGACACCTCTGAAATAGGAAAACCTTTGGATTCACGATAAATGCTATGATTTTAATTAATGCAGCCACTTAGTGATAGATATCTTATAGATAAATTGCAATTTTAGACGGTGTCATGTGTTTTGTTTCATCAGTTTTTTGCGCATAAAACTTTTGTATGATACCCAAACCGAACTATAGAATGGTACTTAGCTGGTAGAAGAAAGCCTTAAAATGAATGCATATAAACCTCTACGAGTATGTCTTTTATGCTTTTTCGTGTATTTCTAGAAAGGTCTTCTCAAACTTAGTTTTTTAGGTGATACGTACGTAGACGTATCACCTTTTGATTTCGTCAAGATTTTTATTATTATTTATTAGGTGATACGTATGAAATATACGTATCACCTTTTGATTTCGTCAAGATTTTCTTTATTATTATTATTATTTAGGTGATACGTAACGAAGTCTACGTATCACCTTTTGATTTCGTCAAGATTTTTCTTTATTATTATTAGGTGATACGTAACGAAGTCTACGTATCACCTATTGATTTCGTCAAGATTTTTATTTATTATTATTAGGTGATACGTAACGAAGTCTACGTATCACCTATTGATTTCGTCAAGATTTTTATTATTCTTCTTCTTCCTATTATTCTTCCTCGATTTTGTTCGCAGGATATCTCAAGACCGAATAAAACCATTGTCATGAAACTTTCAATGATGATAGATCTTAGTCTAACTTAGAACTGCGTGATTTTTCAAGGACTCAAAGTCATCGTGACGTCATCCAGGCGCCATTTTGTGAAAATCAACTAATGATCATATCTTCATAACGGAAAGTTATTTTTCATTCATATTTATCATGAATAAGATCAATATCCGTCCGGTCAATTTGAGGTCAATAAATGCGCGCAAAAATGCGCGTACGCGTAGGCGCGCGCGTTAATGCGCGCGTAAAATTTTAAATTGCTCAAAATCGTCTTAAATTTTTTTTGCATACGTTTTAGGCCATTATAAGCATTTCATAAAAAATCACGCAAAACACGCATTTTTGCACGTTTTCGTTCGTCACGGCCGAACGAAAAATAATCCCCCAGCAAAAACTTTTGACAGAATATTCCTCATATTTTTTCGGAAAATTTGATACCATGTTTAGCTCTTTATCACTATTAAAAACGGAATGAGCGTCCGTTCAAGATAACCGTCCGTACGCGCGATTTTTGTAATACATTGCATATATGGGCAAAAACATGCCTATGAAAAGTCCATTGGGATGAATAGGGATTACCAATTTTTTTTGTCATATTTAGATAGAGTATGAGTCGGAGGTATGATTTCATATCTCATTTGGCCATTAAGTACATCTTAACGTCATCATAATGGCCTTGGAAGTCAAAAATACAAAATTGCATATTATGACGTCATTGTATTTATGGAAAATGTAGTGTATTTCTCTCAATATTCATCGATTCTCTTTGAAATGTCGATATGTTGTAGATAAGGCAATTCTCTACAAGATCACTTTTCACTAAGTTTCATTTTAATGAGGTCATCATAGTACAAAATTCAATTAAAGGCCACATGTCAGAATTTTCGTCATTTGCGTGTTATGTCTATGGAAGGTGAATTTCGTTCACATCATGAATCTACATGGCATTCATCTATGAGCACTATCTATCTTATGTGTGCTCTGTTTTCTCCCAAATTGGGGTATGTTATAGCTGAGACCATGGGCTATCAAAACGGTGTACTTTGTTTTTTCATCGGATGTTGGGATCATGTCGGAATTTTCAATCGAAAGTTGAAATTGCAAATTTTGACGGAATCATTAGGTGGTACGTATCATTAGGTGATACGTAACGAAGTCTACGTATCACCTATTGATTTCGTCAAGATTTTTATTATTCTTCTTCTTCCTATTATTCTTCCTCGATTTTGTTCGCAGGATATCTCAAGACCGAATAAAACCATTGTCATGAAACTTTCAATGATGATAGATCTTAGTCTAACTTAGAACTGCGTGATTTTTCAAGGACTCAAAGTCATCGTGACGTCATCCAGGCGCCATTTTGTGAAAATCAACTAATGATCATATCTTCATAACGGAAAGTTATTTTTCATTCATATTTATCATGAATAAGATCAATATCCGTCCGGTCAATTTGAGGTCAATAAATGCGCGCAAAAATGCGCGTACGCGTAGGCGCGCGCGTTAATGCGCGCGTAAAATTTTAAATTGCTCAAAATCGTCTTAAATTTTTTTTGCATACGTTTTAGGCCATTATAAGCATTTCATAAAAAATCACGCAAAACACGCATTTTTGCACGTTTTCGTTCGTCACGGCCGAACGAAAAATAATCCCCCAGCAAAAACTTTTGACAGAATATTCCTCATATTTTTTCGGAAAATTTGATACCATGTTTAGCTCTTTATCACTATTAAAAACGGAATGAGCGTCCGTTCAAGATAACCGTCCGTACGCGCGATTTTTGTAATACATTGCATATATGGGCAAAAACATGCCTATGAAAAGTCCATTGGGATGAATAGGGATTACCAATTTTTTTTGTCATATTTAGATAGAGTATGAGTCGGAGGTATGATTTCATATCTCATTTGGCCATTAAGTACATCTTAACGTCATCATAATGGCCTTGGAAGTCAAAAATACAAAATTGCATATTATGACGTCATTGTATTTATGGAAAATGTAGTGTATTTCTCTCAATATTCATCGATTCTCTTTGAAATGTCGATATGTTGTAGATAAGGCAATTCTCTACAAGATCACTTTTCACTAAGTTTCATTTTAATGAGGTCATCATAGTACAAAATTCAATTAAAGGCCACATGTCAGAATTTTCGTCATTTGCGTGTTATGTCTATGGAAGGTGAATTTCGTTCACATCATGAATCTACATGGCATTCATCTATGAGCACTATCTATCTTATGTGTGCTCTGTTTTCTCCCAAATTGGGGTATGTTATAGCTGAGACCATGGGCTATCAAAACGGTGTACTTTGTTTTTTCATCGGATGTTGGGATCATGTCGGAATTTTCAATCGAAAGTTGAAATTGCAAATTTTGACGGAATCATTAGGTGGTACGTATCATTAGGTGATACGTAACGAAGTCTACGTATCACCTATTGATTTCGTCAAGATTTTTATTATTCTTCTTCTTCCTATTATTCTTCCTCGATTTTGTTCGCAGGATATCTCAAGACCGAATAAAACCATTGTCATGAAACTTTCAATGATGATAGATCTTAGTCTAACTTAGAACTGCGTGATTTTTCAAGGACTCAAAGTCATCGTGACGTCATCCAGGCGCCATTTTGTGAAAATCAACTAATGATCATATCTTCATAACGGAAAGTTATTTTTCATTCATATTTATCATGAATAAGATCAATATCCGTCCGGTCAATTTGAGGTCAATAAATGCGCGCAAAAATGCGCGTACGCGTAGGCGCGCGCGTTAATGCGCGCGTAAAATTTTAAATTGCTCAAAATCGTCTTAAATTTTTTTTGCATACGTTTTAGGCCATTATAAGCATTTCATAAAAAATCACGCAAAACACGCATTTTTGCACGTTTTCGTTCGTCACGGCCGAACGAAAAATAATCCCCCAGCAAAAACTTTTGACAGAATATTCCTCATATTTTTTCGGAAAATTTGATACCATGTTTAGCTCTTTATCACTATTAAAAACGGAATGAGCGTCCGTTCAAGATAACCGTCCGTACGCGCGATTTTTGTAATACATTGCATATATGGGCAAAAACATGCCTATGAAAAGTCCATTGGGATGAATAGGGATTACCAATTTTTTTTGTCATATTTAGATAGAGTATGAGTCGGAGGTATGATTTCATATCTCATTTGGCCATTAAGTACATCTTAACGTCATCATAATGGCCTTGGAAGTCAAAAATACAAAATTGCATATTATGACGTCATTGTATTTATGGAAAATGTAGTGTATTTCTCTCAATATTCATCGATTCTCTTTGAAATGTCGATATGTTGTAGATAAGGCAATTCTCTACAAGATCACTTTTCACTAAGTTTCATTTTAATGAGGTCATCATAGTACAAAATTCAATTAAAGGCCACATGTCAGAATTTTCGTCATTTGCGTGTTATGTCTATGGAAGGTGAATTTCGTTCACATCATGAATCTACATGGCATTCATCTATGAGCACTATCTATCTTATGTGTGCTCTGTTTTCTCCCAAATTGGGGTATGTTATAGCTGAGACCCTGGGCTATAAAAACGGTGCTTTTAGTTTTTTGATCAGATGATGAGATCATATCACAATTTTCAGTTGAATGTTGAAATGATGAACATGTCACGTATGTCCTATTTGTCAAACTTAAACGTTAGCAGTGTCCTCGTATTGAAATTATGTAAGGAAACCCTTTTACTTTCTAGACTTTACTCTCAGACACTATTGAGTGACTGACTGACATCTTGTTTTCTCTGGTAATAAAATACATAAAATGAGCGTTATAGAGAACATGAGCATTTGGCTACATTAATAACCCACTCTGTTCTTATTGCTCATTTCTTATTCAAGACTTGAATAATGACGAACTTCATTCAATACTTATACTGATATCAAAGATTTAAACTATTTATCCGAAAAAGAATATGAGTTTCATTTCAGTAGGTTTCTGAACTGTAAATATTATATTGATGAGGATTTTACGACTGAATTCAGTAACATTAACTATCATTTTAGTATTTTACATTTTAATTCGCGTAGTTTAAACATACATTGTAATGCTTTATCCAATTTCATCTGTACTTATGTATAGAAACTTGGGTTAATGATAGTACGCCACTATTATTCAATGTATCTGGTCATTCATTTATACAATTTAATCGCCAAGTACAAAAGAGTGGAGATGTTGGTCTATTGGTCGCTGACAATTTTGAATATGAAATACGCAATGATATATTTATATTATACCCATCATACAACTATGAATCACTGTTTATTGAAAGCAATTTGCCGAGACATAATAATATTATTGTAGGTGTCATATATAGGAAACCCCAATCAAATATCAATGATTTCATCCCTGTCTTTGAAAATGTTTTACAAAAAACACATACTGAACATAAACAGGTTTATATAATGGGAGATTTTAACATTGATCCTGTGAAATTTACTGGCAATGCTGTATGTAATTTCTTGAGCGAAATACATTCAAATCTTTGTATTTCTTTAATTGACAAGCCTTCAAGAAAGACTGACGGATCAATATCCCTCTAATCCACACTCCTTATACAGT